CATGTGGGTTTGCACTGTATGTGCTGTGCTGGCTTGGGGTTGTTGGAGTGGTAAAACAATCCTTTGTCAGGGTTGCATGAAGCATTGGAGTGGTCTTTCTTACAGCTGTTCTGAGTTACGTGGCCTGTTCTGGGTGGCGTGTGGATGGCTTAAGCCTGTTGTCAAGTACTGTGACTACACTGGAAAGAGATTCCCCAAGAGTAAAGCCTAGAGATGGCAAAACACATGAAAGGCTGCACAGGGTAGGAGTGTTTTACTGGATCTGGGTCTTCAGAATGGTAGCAGAACATAGTCCAAGACAAAATACAGAAGTCATCTTTCAGATCTGGAGAAAGGGGTGATGAGGGAGTCTGCGGTCCTCTCCAGGGTATGGAGGGCTCTGGACCTGCAACTGAAATGCAACACTGACACCGCTAATTCCTGACATTTCTAAATCTGACGCCAGGAAATGCTGAGGTCTTGCGCAGCCTAATCTATTGTCTAGAAAGAGAGTCCCTCTTTAAAGAACCCAAGAAAAGGTAAAACTACTGCCATCTTACTGAGGATTCATGCTTGTGCCTAAACACAGCAGTTCCTTTAATGCATGTATATGGGTTCTTCTGCTTTTCCATCATGGTGATGGTCAAAGCTGAAGACCCTCTGGTCTTAGACATGTTTTCCTGTTCTCCCACCAAGGCAAAATCACTTTAAATCTGCCATCCAGGTGGAAGACCAGTCTTCTAAATCATTCATACGGTAATTCATCACTGAACTCCATTGTCTCCCCCTACCCCACTCCCTCCTGAGTGAACTTTGACTAAGGAGCAGTAGAGCTGGAAGCAGCACCTAGTGTCCGTGAGCCTCCAGGAGGATGTCCTGCCTCCTGCTTCCTACTTCCGCAGTTGCTGAACCTTAGCTTCTTTTCAGCAGCAGCCAGGAATCTGCTTTCCCTTGCTTTCTACTAGGATGCTCTTTTGCTTTCTTAGTGATGCATGTCATCTTGAAATATATTCTGCCTTAGCTGCTGTCTTTACAGACACGTTGAATTTGCTCTTGAGTTCTGTGGAGGCTCTTACAAACAGATGCAGTTACCAGGAATTGAAGTAAGCCATTAATGCAGAAATATGGAGTTAGCTTAAGAAATGTCCCAATTTCTGAGCAAATGTGGCTGTATGGAAGCCTGATTCTCTCGTTAGAGCAGAAGTTTGTCACCTGTCTGCTGTCTAGCTTCATTAAATACAAAATACAAAAGAAAAAACCCTACTTCAGGCACACAATATCATAAAAATAATACAGCTCCAGCAGAAATCTCTTAATCACAGCAAGGGGTGGAAGGGAGGTGCTCTTGAATTGATTCAGGTACCCTTTGTCAACACTGGTCCTTCTAAGGCACACAGTGTCATCTTCAGAAGCACTTCTTAAAAATGCAGGAAGGACCACATTCTTCATATTCACTTCTGTAAACCCAGAGCTCCTGGAAAGAGCGGAGTGAGGCCAGAATAGACCCACCAATCCAGACAGAAGACTTTCTTTGAGGGGACGCGGCTGTGATGAGGTTGTCAGTGGGGCACATCCTGGCCAGTTCCATCTGGAAGCGGTCGGTAAAGCCCTCCATCATAGTGCTGCCCCCACACAACAGGATATTCCTCACCATTTTTTTGTTGATGTCAGCATCACACCTCTTGAGACAGGTGAGTGTCAGCTGCAAAATCCCTGGCTGCTGTGAGCCAAGTAGGGCTGGTTTGAACAGCGCTTCAGCACAAAGGAATCTCTCCTTGCCTACGGTGACGACATGTCCATCTGGCAGCTCATAATCCATTTGCTGTTTCTGAACAGGCAAACTCAAGTCCTGGGTAAGGTCCAGAGAAGTGCAACAACACTTCTCTTTGAGATCTTGTACGATGTTTAGCTGGTGTTCCGTGAACACATTTCCAGACTCATTTAGTAACCTCATGAGATAACGTGTGATATCCGAGCCAGCATAGTCTACTCTCCCAGTGATGCTACGTATAACATAACCTTCATAGATGGGAACCACGTGCGAAGCACCATGGCCACTTTCCACCACGAGAGCTGAGGTTTTTCCATAAGAGTACATGGATAAATGGGACTGGTAGGCAACGTGGATGGCAGGCATGTGAAATCCTTCAAACATCATCTCAGCATATCTCTCCTTGTCAGTGATGGAACACAGGGGAGGCGCTGACACCAGAACAGCATGGTTCTCTGGCTGAATATTCATTTCTGTCTGGAAAATACACTCCAAAGTATCTTGGACACAGTTCCAGTCCGCCACTATGCCATGTCTTACTGGGTTGATGAGTGTTAAGGGTACACTGCTATTCTGAAGCTCTTTTCCAACAAAGGTTTCTTTTTGATTGCTCCCAGCCTCCCGTGTGGGCTTACCAACTGTAGAGGAAACAATGTAGGAAGGCCATGGGTCCCCTGCAAAGCCACACTTGAAGTAGCATGTGCCAATGTCTATGACTACTGTTTTAGTTTCCTTCATGGCTTTGAGACTACCCGTGGTTGCAGATACATGGCTGTCCCTTATAGGCTTCAAACAGCTTGCATCCGCTGCTGCCGTTCTTGCAGACCTTTCCTGTACAGCTGTGACTTCATACAGCGAGTGCTGGACATGCTTCTCGGCAGCATTGCCCTGCCACCACTCCACTGGGGTCACCGCAAGCAGCAGACGTGTGGCTGGAGCCCTGGTGGCGGTGGTTCTACTGATGACATCATACAGAGGCTTGCCCCTCAGAAACCAGTGCTCAGCATTCAAGTGCGTGACAATCATGACTTGAGGCAGCTGTGCACCATTTCTATATAGTTGGGTTGCAGGCATTGTGCTTTGCTTTGACCTGCTCTGAGAGGTACTAAAAAACATGACACCCACCCAGATGTGACGGGCCGCGGGGCATAAACAGCGCATTTAACCGTGAAGCAGCATGGCTTTCCTTTCCAGCCTGCGTCTGCCACATGAGGAAGACCATGGTTCTCCAGCATTTGCAACTGCTCTTGGTCTAAAATAGTTCCTGTTGCTAAGCATTGGCACTACTTCACCTCTGGGGCCAAGCGAAGCCCTAGTTTGGCTGTGTCAAGAGCGAATCCCTAGACTGGCTGTGCTTTTGTCATTGTTTCTCTCATTTTTAAGTTTTGCTTTCTAAATTAAGGCATAATATTACTAATGTCAGCAAAAACTAAAGTGTGACTGGTGGTTGAAATTAGGCCACATCCAACCCCTCACCCTTACCGTCCCCCCCATTCCACTACAGGAACGTCTGTTCTTTTCCAGCAGCAACAGGTCACTATTTGCCCCATCAGTGTGTGTGTAATAACATATTGCTGCATGGAGGCACAGAAGAAGACACCCTCTCCCCACAGAATACGTTATCAAGAGCTACCAACAGCATTTTCCTTGCATAACAAAAGCTCTGTGTGCTCTTTTACTCAAAGCCATTTCACCCAGAGGGCGTCTTACTTAACAAGTCAAAGCTGGGCTTAGGATGAAATCGAACCCTACTAACCAGTTCTGGACCCACAAACAGATTTTCCTTGCTACTGCTCTGCTGCCTATACGGGAGTTCACATCTTGATGACAATCAAATGATAGAGGCTCACCAAAATCCCGATGTGGAAAAACAGGGCAGCATAAAACCATGCCAATTTCTCTACCAACCTCAACATATGCAGACAAGCAACTGCAAACCTTGATAGTTTATTATTCTGGGAAGCAATAAAGCTGGATATTGTGTATTATACACATATTTTTGTATATAAATGATTCAATACATCCTTGTACATGAGATAGGCTGCCCCTCTTGGAGCCTCAGCAGTGACTACCCTGGCACCCTGGTGACAGGCGATGCCTGCTCCATAGCCAAGGGGAAGTTCAGCAGCACTGCAATCTTCAAGCCATGCTGTGGCACAGCGAAGTGGGGACGCTGCAGCTGATGCTCCTTCCCATTTAAATAACCTGGCCCTTTTTTTCAGCCGGAGGGCTTGATCCTGATGCAAGTATTGGTTGTCAGCTGGTGACTGACCTCCTTCAGCACTGACCGGTGCACTTGATTGGTCTATGTTCATGTTGGTCTAAGGAAATGCAGAAAGATTTCAGCTTAACTTCTCAATAGCATTGCTCGCTCGCTGCAACCGTAGCGTTTAGTTCTATGTTTAGCTGTCGTGTTTTAATTCCCAAGTTGGTTTTTACTTCCTTAGATAATGGCAATAAAGTTATTTTTTAGATAGCCGGAAGTGATTACTTTTCCTGCCCGAAAAGACACCGGTGTGTCAGAAACATCTGACAGTAATACATCTGGCAAGCTCCATTGGCAGTTAGTGCTTTTGATACAGCAGAAGAGCTTGACAAAGTGTTTTTAGTATTACCTGACTTGTGGTTCATTTTGCCTTCAGATTACACACAACTGCCAATCCTCAGTGTAAACCGTATCTTACATTGTTCTTCAAAAGAAAAGTAGTTGTAGCAAATAAAGCCGTCAGAATCCCGAATGTTTAAAGATTGACATACGTTCTCTAGCGTAAAAATGTGAGAAAATCTGGCGTTTCTTATGCTTTTTATTTAAGAGTTTCAGAGTTTATTGCATCAAGTACCCAAGACAAAAAGGCGAAATGTACCAATGCTTATGAAAGGGCAATGGTAAAACTTACCTCCTGGGCTGCAGCTGTAATTTGTAAAATAGCTGGCAGTTGACACAAAAGTACAATGATAACCTTGAAAATGTTAATTTTTTTACATTCCTTGGACAGTTTTGCTGTCAGCCACGCCAGCCTCTGCAACATTATCACTTAAGAGAAACTTCAGTGACAGGCAGAAGACATCAAGAGAAAGACCTCTAAATCATTGTTTGTTTCTCTCCTTTCTCAGTGGAAACCCAGATCTGGGCTCAATGCCTCAGCTTCTGAATTAAAATAAATCCTTTCGTCCAAACGCAACGCTTCTTCCAGACTTTGGTCACATATAGATTAGTGGGGCAGTACCACAACAAAGCTGCAAACACGCCTTCAATTTCAGAAGTCACTTTATTTTATGTTGGGGTTTTTTTGGCTATGCTATTACAAAGTTAGTATGCGTTTAGTAGTAGTTTCCAGGCTACTTTTTCCCACATTACATTTGTCATTCCAGTTCACAAAAAACATACGTGTCCAGTAACATTTTGAGGTCTTTGTTGCAGCCTGAAATCTGAAGACGGGTTGTAAGATGACATTTTGCAAAGTCATTTTGGCCAATGTTTCCTGAGGTGTTCCTTTAACTGTGGGATAGTGGACAGCTGTTGTTTGCAACGATGGCATCTGAGGGGCAATTTGAGAAGTTCAGAGACGTGATCTTTCACTATCACTTTTCCATTGCTTCTTACCATCTCTATCACATCTGAAATAAAATGAGACAGGAGGTATTGGGACCACGTAGCATCGTGAAACACATGACTGCAGAATCTCTGCGCACTGCTTTGCATGCACAGCATGTCATCACTGCATTCTAATTTAAACCAGTCACAAAATTCGGTTGACTTTTACTTAGTGCTTCCCCAATATCTGAAACTACATATAACCTTTCACTTATTACAATAGAATTTATCGCTTACACATTTGTTTGGAATAAAAAAGCCCAAAGCCAGAACCCACAAACAGGATTACATGTCACGAAACACCTTTTCTAATCATTACCTTCAGAGTTTAAGAAGTAGTCTGTAGTAAAAGAGTTCCAGTGCTTTTTGGTTTTCAGGGCTGGAGAATCAAAATCCTGGCTGATTAAATGCAAATGTAGCTGACTGAAACAAATATGTTATGTAGATAAGAGAGAAGAGTAATGTTAATGCTTGAAGTTCTTTTGCAGTAGTATCGGTTGCAAACATGATTCAGCAGTCGGACTGCCAGCCTTATGGGTCAGTCTTACCATGTTTGACCCACAGTCCTGTGACAGAAGAAACCTAGTCTGTTCTAGAAGCGCAGTCTCATGCCAAGCGCTTCACTTAAACAGTCAAGGTCACTAATCTGCGTATTCCACTGGCCCCTAACTACAGTCTATATTCCTGCTAGTTTCCAAAAGGGCAGAGACAGTGGTTTTAATAAACCAAAGGTTTAAACTTTGTAAAGTACCTGAATGGGACTTGATCGGTGACTCAAAGCTTCATCCAAGAAGTGGAGAACAACTTAGGAACACTGACTGCAATACCCACAGGCATTTGGTCACTGTAACATCTGGACTTACTTACACACACAAGACTTGAATCCTTGCTCAGTATCAGGCAGGAGTTGACAGGCTTAAGAGTCACTCTCTGATCCCCGATCGGTGTGCTGGGAGGGGGGATGCCCTAGCACTTGGCCATTGGCATCGCCGTCTCTTTCCCTGGGACTGGACCACAGGCGTACTGTAGCCCCAGCTACAGACCTCTGCTAGGGGAACCCCACAGGCATTTCCCACCTGACCCACGACACCTGCCTAGCCCACCGGCATGTACGCAGCAGCGTGTGCACAGCTGCACCCAAGGGACTTGGACACCAAACTGTCCGTAGTGTTTAGGAGGATAAGTTGTTCTTTAGCAGTGCCAGATCACATTACAGATTTCGCCCCAATTCTGTATAACCGGAAGAACAGGGTCTCCACCTGATGACTCATCTAGGTCTTACCTCATACTGGGGATAGCATGGTAACCCAGTCTGAACTCCAGACTCTCTCTGGCAGGGCACCGTTCGATCATTTTTTGCCCAACTGCATGCATATGTTCCAGGAGTTCAAGATGGTCCCTGGTGACTGACTTCAGGCTTGAAATGGGGTCCCATGGTAAGATAAGCCAGTGGTAACGTGCTTTGGGATATTTATCCTTGATGACTACAGTCTTTTCATCTTTGTAGACCTTGAAAAACAAATAACTAGATTATTTACTGATTGAAAGTTAAATATCTTATTCATATAAGGACTGTATTTAGTGGATTTTGAGATGTTATCCATCTGCATGTCCCATTGTGGCTGCAGAAGTCCCTAAGCACACGTATGCATTGCTAGTCCAACTGGGACTGCGAGGAAAAAAGCCAGGAAAGATTACTAGATGGGGAGAAATATCAAGCAGCAGAGAATTCCACTTCAAGGAGGACTTTTGCTGGAACTAAATTGGTCCAGGATATGCGCCCTCTTCCATACCATGCACCAGGCAGCTACGGAGAGATGTTCCAGAATCCCTCTTTATTTACTTTAAGGAAAAAGCTTTCTGTTCTTACCTAGCAGTTAAGTTAACCATTGCTACAGGTGGATGTGAACTCTCTTGAAAATCACCTGGACTCAGATACCAGTGAGGTCTAGGAAACTCTACTTCCATCAGGCTACATTCAAGCTTTGTGGTCACTGAAACAAAAATCATGGCACTGTGCTCAATATAGAGCACGTAGGAATGCACTGGACTGCCTCATCCTTCACAGCTTTCTGGAGTGAAACACAAGTCTCAGAGGTGCTACAAACAGCGTGCTCAGTGCTGCAGACCGCCGCCAGCGTTACAAAGACAAAAACATTCAAGCCCAAGCTATTTCAGTTCATGCTACCCAATGTCCTACTTTGTAAGATCACTCACAAAAAGGAGAACAGATTCCTGTCTATCATGCCCTTCTTCCCCCATTTTCATTTTGTTTTGCCTTCTGCAACAATTTGATGCAGCTGATGAAGAGAAATGGTAGCAAAGCATGGGGAGAACAGGGGGGACAACCTGCTGCTGGCAATAAAAATCTGTCAGGTTCTGAAGAACTGTGTGCCGTGTCTCTGATCTCTTAGCAGCATGTCTATTGGTAAGAGACGGATGATGTCTTTGTCATCTTTGCTAATTATTCTCATATGTTTATATACAGAGTTGATCAGTCTTGCTCTACAGGAAGGAAGATTAAAATTCTATCAGCACACAAATCACAGGACTGATTCTTTCAGCAGCAAGACTTGTTGATGCTGTCGTATTTTTATATACACACATTAGTGTCTGCATATGCAGCCAGTGGGAATGGGATCACGATCAAGTGTTTTCAGAAGAAAGAAATATTGCCATTTATTTAATATTTTATTAAAAAGCAAAGACAGGAGTTCTATTGTTTGTGTATTTAGTTCAGAACCACAATTAATAAAGCCAACAACCAAGTCACAGTTATTTGTGTTCTAACATTCAAAGAACTTTAAAACCAGCTTATCTTTTGGGTCAAGAAAGCACTGTCTTGGTAAAGACAGTAAATTGGTAAAGACGGTAAATTCCGCTTAAGGGATGAAGATTAAGCTTCATGTTTAAACATGTTCAAAAGCATGTTTAAAAAGGAAGCAAGTATTTCAATAGCTTTATTGTTCCCTATAGAAAGACTCATTTGAAACTGCTGGCATTTCCAGGAGAATGGGCATCCAGTTCTCCTCAACTCTACGCAGTTAAACACTTTAGACTTGAATTAAAAAAAAAAAAAAATCAAGAAATAGGGACCTTCTGATTAGTTATCAAGGAAATTATTTCCAGCCTGAGGGTGATCATCACCTGAAGGGGCCCAGTGAGGCTCTGGGATCTTCACCCTTGGAGATCATCTCAACTCAAATGGACGAAGGCTGGGGCAATCACATCGACTGCAAGCAGTCAGACTGGCTGACCTCCAAAGGTCTTTTCCAGCTGAAATTATTCAGTGATTTCAAGAACCAAGTATCACAGGTGTCTGTGATATCCGTACTCCTGAACACATACTGTTCAGGAGAACACTTGCTGAGAAGTACAAAGGGAAAAACACATCTCTAATGTTAAGACGGCCATGCAGCAGTCAGCCAGCCAAAACGCAAGCTAAATGGACCTGAGCTTCAGGCCTTACTCTGCCAGACAGTGGAATATTGATGGAGAGCATTCTCCCTATTTTGGAGTTGAGCTAAAAACCTTGTTTTTGAGAAGGAGTTGTCTACGTATTTCCTATAACTTAAAATGAGAGTAGGTTCTATACATGGTGTCCTGGTTTCAGCAGGGATAGAGTTAATTTCCTTCCTAGTAGCTGGTACAGTGCTTTGTTTTGGATTTAGGGTGAGAACAATGTTAATAACACACCAATGTTTTAGTTGTTGCTAGGTAGTGTTTACACTAGTCAAGGACTTTTCAGCTTCCCATGCTCTACTGACTGAGAAGGCTGGAGGTGCACAAGAAGCTGGGAGGGGGCACAGCCAGGACAGCTGACCCAAACTGGCCAAAGGGACATTCCATACCATGTGACGTCATGCTCAGTATATAAAGCTGGGGGAAGAAGAAGGAAGGGGGGGACGTTTGGAGTGATGGCGTTTGTCTTCCCAAGTAACCGTTACGCGTGATGGAGCCCTGCTTTCCTGGAGATGGCTGAACACCTGCCTGCCCATGGGAAGTAGTGAATGAATTCCTTGTTTTGCTTTGCTTGCGTGTGTGGCTTTTGCTTTACCTATTAAACTGCCTTTATCTCAACCCATGAGTTTTCTCACTTTTACCCTTCCGATTCTCTCCCCCATCCCACCGGGGGGGAGTGAGCGAGCGGCTGCGTGGTGCTTAGTTGCCGGCTGAGGTTAAACCACGACACATGGATAGGGAAGATTCTCTCAGGGCTCTCTCAGAACGCAGTAACAAGAAAGCACGTATACACTGCAGCCACGAAAGACATTTGTCAGATTTCTGCGTCTTGAGTCTGACCTCCCCTGCTTTTGCAGGCAGCAGACAACAAAAAAAAAAAAAAAAAAAAAAGAGCTCAAGGAAAACCATTATGCAGCCACAGGGAAGCAGAGGGAGGGAGCAACTGCAGGCGGCTAAAAGAAACCACCCAGGAAATTCCTGTTGGCACAATGAAACCGGGTGGAGGAGGAGCCAGGGGTCACATCCTGTCAGCTGGCACAGAGGTGTTGCAGTTAAGAGTTTGCTGGAAACCAGGAAACTGCACCATGCCTGGAAACAAGGCAGTGCTGACTGCCAGAAAACAGGAACCTCCACTACTTGCTCAGCTTTGAACCACACCCCCATTTTAGTTGGTTTCCCTGAAGAAACAAAGCAACTGCACTGCTCGCCTGCTCTCCCAACAACCTTTTTGAAATCTGATGGCCAAATTTGACAGTGTAGAGAGCTTGTGAAGATAATTAAGATAATGACATTCTGCAAAATCAGTATAATAGAAACTCCCAAATTAATGCTACTACAGAGAGAGATGCAAGTACAATTCAGCCCTTATGCAGTACTCCACTGGTTAATCAGATCACTAAGTGAACTGCAGAAGGAAGAAAGAAAGCTCATTCAAATTTGTTAGACAGGAACTACTGTAAAGTACAAGTGTACAGCTCTCACCTGCATTTTTGGATCTTGCATGGAGCTCTTTAGACCCTGACTCCAGTGTCCTAAATGTTCCTAAAGCACAGAAGGAAAAAAAATATTTGTAAGACAATTAAGAATCCAATTATATGTTTTAAAGCATTCAGATAAGTACTTTCATTAGTATACAACAGTAAAATAACAACTGAATGACAGCTGAATTATTTCCTTTCTATAAATGCTAACACACCTGCTCCAACTGCCCCCACAAAGCTACTTTTGAAAACTTTTAACAAAATACCATTACGATTCAAAGTTAAGTCTTTCAAATGTTGGAAATTTAACAACAGGGAGCTCTAGATCTGTTTGAATTTAATAATTTACACACACGTTATAGGCACAGTCCTTGATTACTATTGATAACAGATTATTTTACTAAAAGACCCTCTGCTCCATGGATCACAAGGGCCAAAGGAAGTACAAGGATCTCCATTAACTGTCCTATCACATGCGGCTCTGCACAGAACAAAGAAGTGGTTGTGGTGTGTGACCCTACTCTTAAATGTATTTATTTTTTGATATTGTGCAAGGAATGGCTTGTACAGAAAACAAGAAAGGCACAGGAAGATCAAGCCAACACTAGCAGGTATCTCTTAACTTGGTTACTGAATGCCTAATAGAAGGTGCCTCGAGTTCAGTTTTTTCAAAACAGATAATGTTTTATCTGTTCAGATCACTTTACAGGCATTATCAATGATGATTTTCATCATATTCTTACAGAGGAAGATGTTCAAACATTATTATAGTGCTGACAGAGAAACACTGTGAATCGTCTTGTCTCCCTGCTCACACCACCACAAACCTGGCCCTAATATAACTAGCCTGAGCTCACAAATGAAATCAGTGGTCAACCCACCACAACCTGGGACTGAAATTTTGTCCTGAGGGGTTTCATTTCTGTGCCTTCTCCTCCAGCAACTGCACTGTTATAGTTCCAGATGCATTACGAAGTCTTTTATTTTGTCCGTGTCAGCAGGGCTAAAAACTCCCTTTCAAAAGATTTTGGCTGGTAACATTCATTAATGTAAACATGGTTCTACCATAAGGAATGATCAAAGCAGGAGGGGGTGGGGGAGGGAAAGCAATTAAAAAAAAAAAAAAAAAGAGGGTCAAGTTCTTCCATTCTCTGTGCATAAGCTTTTAGATAACCACTGCTCTATTTGTAACATAGCAGATTTCATCTCAAGAGCCAGCACAGTATCCTTGTGTGACTCCAGCTAAACTGAGCTAAAGTGGACTGTCCTTCTAGCAGAAATTGCAGCAGGAACCAGAGATTAAATCCTCACTCGCTACAAGCAAGCCCCTTTACACACACACACACACACACCCCCCAGCTCAGGTTAGAATGGGTTCCAGGTAACTTTCTCAGGACGTGGGTGATGTCAGGAGCAGAGTCTTTGCCTCAGCGCATGTCAGCTCACATGCTCTGAACACTCTGAGGATCTGTGTTCACCTGAGACGCCTCCCCATCAGTAGTACCCACAAAAGTAAAAGGCCAAAGCCCTGACGGAGGAGACAACGCCAGGAGAAACAGCACAAGTACTAATACCAATACACTTGCCTTTTTGCTCGAAGTGCCTTCGTGTGGAGATACACCAGTATTGCTTAGTTTGGGATTTGCAGAACTGCCTTGTGTATCCACCACCTCCATCTTCATTGTTTTTCTGGGCACAAGCTCTACATCATCATCATCATCGCAGGAGTCCTCACATGGCGTCTTGTGGGTTTGTATTTTCCTTTCTGTTTCTGTAACAGTTTTCCCCGACTCTTCAGCAAATTGCACCATGTAGGGGTAAAGTTTATTCACAATATGCAGAACCTGGCCCGGCTTCATTTTCACCTCTTCATCCTTGCCAATACTCACGAGATCAACACTAGTTGGGTTGACTCCTATCTTTGGTAGGAAGAAAAAGGAAAAAAAATAGCAGATGATGTCACAACTGGAATCACCAACTACCACTCCGTTGTCCTGGAATATCACTATCCTGGAAAGCAAATACGTTTTGTGTTCACTGCACCCCCTCCCCACACCAATCCACTCTAGAGGATCAGGGAAGTCCAATGCTGGAGACACCTCTCTATGGCCCAGTCTTGCAATCACAGCTGTCAACACACAACCCTCAGGGGCATGGTGTCACAGGGACCCAACAGTTCTGTAGCAGCTGGCTAGAGTTACAGCAAGACCTGTGCCGCACTTAGCTCAAAAATATTAACAACCTATTGAACAACTGTTAAAATAGTAACAGCCTTAGTAACAATTATTTCTGAAGAGTAACTAGTTTTAACAAATTATTTCAGTCCAGTCATCCCCAGAAAGTTTCCTGTTTTCAAATTATTTTACTTTCTTCTCCTTTTTACTACATTTTGTTTTCTGTTTCTACCAAATGCTGTCCCATCAACACATTTGCCTTCAAATACACAAACACACTTTTCTGGCTCATTTCAAGAGAGAAAGGAGTTCAGGCTCACAACTGCTGGCTCCCCAAGCACAGCCCACTGCTAACACTTGCAACACACTCCCTCCTGCGCAGGGAAAAAAAAAAAAAAAAAAAAAAAAAAGAAAAATCAGGAAAAGTCTCTCTGAGCCCCCAGAAGAGTCCACGACACAGGGATCAGCTCCTTGCTCCTGTTTTTTCTTTCTTTCCCAAGCCAAACGTGATAACCCTTCTCCAGCCCACAGACTGTGTTCAAACACAGTGACAACACTTGCCTATTCCTTCAAGAGAGACTAAACCTCTCTGCTCACCTCAGCTTGTGCAAAGTATATACCAGCCTATCTGTATTTTAATGCTTTTATTTTCATTTCGCATCTTACACTTTCACAAAATCAGCTCTGTTATTTATTCTGTTCTAGCAGAAAATGAGGACAGCAAGGTCAAATTTTTACCTGCCTCTCTCATTGCATCAGTTTACAGCTCTATGCAACTCTAAAATAATTTACCCCTCAAAACACTGTTTTAAAGACTGAGAAGTTACTTGAAGTTTAGCTGATAATTGAAAAGCAATACGTTTTCCTCTGTCTCAGGCATAACTGATAACACAAAGTGGTGTGGACAACCTACAGTGACTGCTTGATAGACGGCTTTTGCCTAATCATGAGGGTGACCCTATGGAAACTAGGAGTCTCCGACTCCCGCAAAATGCTTTTGGTTAATGTTTATGCATGAAACGAGCTTTAGGAAACCAGCTCTTCCCTGTGACTGATAAACTCTGTCACAGAATGTTTCTGCAGCTTTGTCACTGCGATACCTGCCTGCTTCACAAGATGGTACTGTGCCTCTCGTCACTTGGTATTCACTGCGGTGAAGCACCCGCCTGACTCCAGCCAGGATCTCTTCAGTCTACACTTCCACAGTTGCACTCAAGTCAAGTACACTTCACATCCCCCGGGCCAATATGCTATCAAACAACTGATCACTGGAACCCTGCGCTGCACACAAATCACCTGGGAAGCAACTCTAAAGCAGGCAGTGAAAACATGCTAGGACCCACAGCCCTGAAATTCCCGTAACATGGTATTCAAATTGTGGCTAAGGCTGACTTCTGTGAAAAACTGTCTGAGAGATCTTTGCCAGATTCACCAGGTACTGGTGGGGTCCCTGTGCTTACTGAGCTCTGGAGGTGTTTTGACAGAAGATGTTACTCCTCAGTAGGCAGAACACATTGATGTGTTGTCCACATGTGCTGATGCTGCAGGTGCACATACATGCCCCAGCACCTGAAGCCAGAGAATTTTCCGTTCATATTATCTCAGGGATACCGGTCCTTATAAGTATGAGAGAGTAGGCCTACATCCATCCAGTTAGTAACATGAGAATGCCTTCAGTGCTGTCTCACATCCCATCCCTTCCCAGAGGAGACGATACCTTCAGCTCTATCAGCCATCAAAACAAAAACCTTCCACAACTGCCCAGTCCCATTAACATAACAACCAATTTGACCTTAAGTGAAGGGCTGCCTCAGCTTTGGAACTTGAAGGCTCAGGAGGCAGATCAGCAAGTTTAGGGGAAGAACTCCAAAATCTCCCAAATGTAGCGCCTGAAAGAACAGGTTGAGGATTCACAGCAGCATTCCCTGATGCTGCAAGTCTGGCTGTCTGAGACTGGAGCATATCTGGAAGGAATAGTGCAGTCTTTCCATTGAGGTATTTTAAAAAAAAAAAAAAAAAAAAAGAGAAAGACCCCTTCAAGGGACAGGTATTTAAAAAAA